TATCAGAAAAAGGTATAAGTCCAACTAAAGAAGGAGTGAAATCGGTACAAAGAATTCCGGTGCCTCGAAATATTAAGGAAATGCATAGCTTTGTTGCCTTATGCTCATATTTTCGGAAGTTTATTCCATCCTTCTCATTGATCGCCAAATCATTGTATGATTTATTGCGCAAAAACGTTCCGTTTAAGATCGGAGCAGACGAACTACGCGCATTTGAAGAGTTAAAAAGCAAAATAATTAATGCACCCGTTTTAGATGTTTATAATCCGACTAGTGAAACTGAGCTCCATTGTGACGCGAGTAACGCAGGTTTTGGATCAGTACTCATGCAACGTGGAAAGGATAAACAATTCCATCCAGTCTTTTTCTTTTCTAAGCGAACATCTAATGCGGAAAGTCGCTATCATAGCTTTGAGCTAGAGATGTTGGCAATTATTTATTCGTTACGACGGTTCAAAGTTTACTTACGTGGTATCAAGTTTAAGATAGTTACTAATTGTAACGCATTAACACTAGCCTTTAAAAAGAAAGATATATCACCGCGTATAAGTCGTTGGATACTTGAATTGCTTGAATATGATTATTCGACTGAACACCGGCCCGGAGCAAAAATGGGGCACGTGGACGCGCTAAGTAGACTACCGGAAGAAATCATAATAGATGACAAACGAAATGAGCAAAGGACGTCGTAAGAGTCATACAAAATAAATTTTTAAAACGATAGATAAAACATAACTGTCATATATAATAAAACATCATCTTACATAATTCTGAATTATACATTAATAAAACAAAAACATAAATGATTACAAAATTACAATACTACTTAACGTTTCGGCTCTCGGATTGAGCCATCCTCAGAAGTAACATCATGATAATTGAAAGTTATTCGTTAATTGGAAAAATCTAATGTGAACATCTCCATGTCTTATTGTTGACCAAGCGATTGAAAGATCGAATGAAAAAACAAGCTAATAAGTAAAATAAATTAACAAACGATTAATAAATCTCATACTACGTATAAATTGTGTTAAAAAATTATAAAACTGTCTAACCTTTAGAGATGGACATCATTATTTTATCCCCACAAAAACTTAAAAAATGTATATCAATAAAAATCAGATCGTCAATATATAAAAATTATAAAAACTGATTATACTATTGTTACAGATTACACAGAAAATAAATCATCTGACAAATATAATTAATACATGTTATCACAATGAATGCTCGATGACAACTGACACAGACTACAAAACGACAAAGTTAAACTTTGTTTATGATGGGATAATATGCATAATGGAGACCTTCTGTGTCCGTTTGTAAATTCAAACTGTTATTTTGTCTTTTTATATTGATCATCTCCGAAATTATACGTTTTCTGTAGCACGGTTCTTCGTCTAATATCTCAACATCATCCCAACAAAATTCATGGTCATGTTGCAACCTGTGGTCAGTGATAACAGAACGTGTAGACGTGTTATGTCGAATGTGATTCCTATGTTCTGCGATTCTAGTTTTAAGTTGTCTACTCGTCTGTCCAACGTAAGACGCATCACAATCTCCGCAAGAGATTTTATATACAACATTGTTCTTCGAGTTTTTTGGGCGTATATCTTTCTGTACTTTAATGTACTTCCTCATCTTATTTGGACTGCGGAAGGAAACCCTAATATCCTTACCATTAAATCTCTTAAATTTATCTGTATGAAACGGTATAAATGGTAACGTAAGCCAGGAAGTGGGTACTTCACTGTCATAATAGATGACAATTCATTCGAGTTAAATTTAGCTCTCATTCAGAACCGAGATAGTAAGTTAATTGAATTGAAAGAAATATTACGAAAAACTGATGATTCTTATTTTGAGCATAAACGAAAAAAGTTAAAAGGACGTTGTAAGAGTCAAAAGAAATAATTTAAAACAACAATTAAAGAAAGAAAAACGCATATATGTAATAAATTAATTTCAAAAGAAAAAAAATTTTTTCTTCGAAGCTGTACATTAAAAATTAACAATATAAAAATACTTGTTTAAAATTCGAAGATATACATTAAAAAATAACAATATTCAAAAACCTGCTTAACGTTTCGACTCGTGGATTGAGTCTTTTTCAAAAGCGCAAACATATTCTTAAAGTTAAAATTCTTCGAATTAATTCTGCGAATCCATCTTCATCAAATCCAACTATTGTTCCTCTAGCGATTAGTAGATCGTAAGAAAAAAGTCAGCTATAAAAATTATGTAGATATGACAAGCTTTAGAATCAAAAAAATATTAAAACCATCAAGAAAATTGTACGTTAACAAAAATTGTAACAATATCAAACCTTTGGAGATGGGCAACATTATTCAAAGATCTCTAGATCAGTCAGTACACTACGCAATCTATTCGTCAATGTGTAATTTTTAAACGTCAAAATTATAAAATTGATATACATTATTCCGCAATTAATAAGTATGTGACGCCACTATGAATGTTCGAAGATAACTGATACAGAATACAACATGACAATGTCAAACTTTGTTTATAATCGAAAAATATGCTTCGTGGAGATCTATCGTGTCAGATTGTAAGTTAAGACTGTTATTCTGTCTTTTAATATTCAACATCTCAGATACTAAACGCTTTTTGTAACACGGTTCTTCATCAAGAATTTCCACTTCATCCCAAAGAAATTCATGATCATGTTGCACTCTATGATCAGTAATAACCGAACGTGTAGATGTGTTATGTCTAATATGATTCCGATGCTCTGCGATTCTGGTTTTTAACTGTCTACCAGTCTGACCGACATAAGACGCATCACAATCTGCACATGATATCTTATATACAACATTATTCTTCGTGTTTTTCTGTCGTATGTCTTTCTGTACTTTTATGTATTTGCTCATCTTGTTGGGACTGTGATAGGAAACCCTGATATCATTACCATTGAATCTCTTAAATTTATCTGTATGAAACGGAATGAATGGTACCGTAAGCCAGGAAGTAGAAACTTCACTGTTTTGTATTTCGTTAGAATTTTTATGTGTGTGATGTTTTATTTTTTGTAATTGCTTAATACGTTGTCTGATATTATCAAAAATAAACGATAAAGGGTAATCATTCTCTAAAAGAATGTTGATTATCAAAGTTAAATTATTAGTATGAAAACTAAAGTCTGATAATATGTATACTCTATCTACTAACGAAAAAACCACACCTTTCTTTTGAGATATGGGATGGTTAGAGTGAAAATTGAGAAATCTACCTGAAAATGTAGGCTTACGGTACCAATCGAAAATAAGTTTACTGTTGTATTTAATAATCGTAATATCTAAAAAATTCAGTTTATCTCCACCAATTTCCACAGTAAATTGTAGACGAGGGTGAAAATTATTGAAAATTTGTACTAAATAACTGATGTCTGACGAGGAAACTGCCATACAGATGTCATCAACATATCTGTAGTAAAACAAAACATTTTTATCAAAGATTCTCAATGATATAGATTCAAGCCTCCTCATCACCAGGTCAGCGATAATCGGAGAAAGAGGAGAGCCCATGGGTGTGCCAAAACATTGTTTATAAATACTATTGTCAAACAAAAAATATGTTGAATCTAAAATAAGTTTGATTGCCTCAAGAAACTCATCCCTAGGTAATGGACATCCACGTGAGATAAAATTCCACTGTTCAGCAACGCAATCCAAAGCAAGATCCAAGGGTACGTTGGTGAACAATGAGATAACATCCAAAGAAATCAATTGGCAAGCATTGTTGACCTCCACATTCCTCAATTTCTCAATCAAATCAAAACTCTTATTTTGAGATGAGGAACGGTATTGTGTTTAAAAAACATTACGGTGAATTGCTATTTTATGTTCCGCAAGCCATGGAATTACAAGTCATGCATAAATACCATGATGAGATGGGTCACCTCGGAATAGAAAAGACGTACGACAATGTGATAAAGAGTTACTGGTTTCCCGAAATGAAACGTAAAATAACAGAATATATTTCTAATTGTCTTAAATGTATCTCATTCTCGCCATCATCGGGTAGGTAGGAGGGATATTTACATTGTATACCTAAAGGTCAGTTACCTTTTGAAATATACCACGTGGACCATTATGGATCAATTGATAAGGAGCGGGTGATAAAACGATATCTTTTAGTTGTAATAGATTCTTTTACTAAATATGTTAAGTTATATCCGACTAATTGTAAGACTACTGCAACTAACGAAGTAATAGATTACTTGACCCTTCATTTTTCTAATTATAGTAGACCGCGTATTATAATATCCGATAGAGGGACGGCATTCACGTCTGGTGAATTTAAACTCTTTTGCAAAGATAACAATATTCGACACGTATGTACAGCGACACACTCACCATAAAACTAATGGGCAGGTTGAGCGGGTAAATCAAATGTTAGGGCCCATGATTAGTAAACTTATCGATAATGACGAAAAAAGATACTGGTATAAAATCATTAATGACATTGAGTTTGCAATAAATAACTCTGTTTATAAAACCACTAATGAGACTCCGAGCAAATTATTGTTTGGTATAAATCAGCATGGTAAAGTCATAGATGTAATTCGCGAATATTTAATTAATAACACTACAACGGTTGATCGAGATTTAGTACGTTTGCGAGAAAGAGCGAGCGAAAAGATAAAGCGAAGTCAAAAATATAACAAACAATATTTCGACAAAAAGCATAAAACGCCACACACTTATTGTGTCGGTGACTTTGTTATGATAAAAAACATAGATACTACTAAGGGCGCCTCTCATAAAATTATACCTCAGTTTAGAGGGCCGTACGAAGTTATGAGAGTACTGCGTAACGATAGATATGTAGTAGCAGATGTAAAAGGTCATCAAATGACTCAAAAGCCTTATGAAGGTACATGGGAGGCCGCTAACATGCAACCGTGGACCGGAGCCAACAACTTCGAGGTCGGAGTAAAGTCAAGAAAAGCCGAGTTGTAATATTATTTAATTTTGTTAGCAAGTATAGAATCCTTTTTTTTTATGAAGGGCCCCTTTCGTAATAGGCTCAGCCTTGTAGCCATTATGCTTTTGAGTCACTTCGAGCCTAGCCATATTGCCGTACGTTTCGTTTAGTTTTGTTCCTTGCGATCTCTAAAAGGGTAACCCCCTTACATGATATAATTTTTTTAAAGAAGAATTAAATTACTTGGTTTCGAATAAAGGAAGATCTTTTAATAAGAATACAAAAGCATATACTTAGGTTTCATTGTATGAAGATAAGATAGTACCACATGGGATTTACTTTTTAATTTAGTAGAATTTAAATAATAGTACTATATGAGTTCTTAAAGATTAAAGGTACCACTTGTGTTTTACTTTTTAATTTGGTAGAATTTAACTTGGCGCCGACTGTTGATATCAAATCTTGTATACAAATGATAAATGTCATTAAAATTAAGTAAGTAATAAGGTAGAATAACTTGGCGCCGACTATTGATATCAAATCTTTTATACAAATGATACATGTCGTTGATTTAAGTAAATAATAAGGATAATACCACGTAGGTTTTTAAAGATTAGAATTTCACTTGGCGCCGACTATTGATATCAAATCTTTTATACAAATGATACATGTCATTAGAATTAAGTAAATAAGGATAATATCACGTAGGTTTTTAAAGATGGTTCTACTAAACAGCAAATGTGATTGGTCAGTTTCACAGTCGATTAAGTAATTGACGTTGGTGAAACTGGTCCAAATGGTTTTTTGACCAGCAGCACCCACTCTTAGCGCTTTTTTCTGCCTTTTTTTTAAAAAGGTAAGTTTATATATAACACAAATGATATATGTCATTAGAATTAAATAAGTGTAAGGATGGTACTCTTAGATCTTTAGAGATAAAATTTTTAAAGACTAGTTAATTATCTAGTTTACATCATGGTCTACTAAACAGCAAATATAATATTAATATACACAATATGGTCCTACAAAAAACTATTTAAAAATGAAGGGCTAAGTAAGGTATATGTCCCAGTTTGTGACCATATAAGATAATCAGTAGAGTATATAGGCGGGTTCTATCGGGGGGGGGGGGGGGGGCCGGGGGGAGCCCGGGGGGGGGGGGGGTCTACGTCACGGCAGGGGAGGGGGATGACGTCACGGATGCGGGCGAGGGAGTATGACGTCACAGGGAGGGATGACGTCACAGGGCGAGAAGGGTATGAGGTCACGGAAGGGGGAGGGTGACGGCGCAGAGGGATGGCGGGGAGAAAAATGACGTCACAGGGTGCTGACGTCGCGGGAAATTCGCGCGGGAAGAATTGTGGTGGTCGCCGCGGAGTCAATGGCCGCCAGGCGCGGGGACCTCCGAACGCGGTAAGCTAACGCGCGCGGTCCTCCCCCGCCGGGGTGCGTTCCAAAATCAACTTTGGTCAACCTCGTTGGTTGTAGGTTTGTTTTTTATTCTATTGAATTAAATAATTTAAATAGCGCGATGCCACCGTCGCCCGCGGTGAGGCTGTCGCGATAACGCTGTCGCGATGTAATACGATACCGCACGAATAAGGATGGATGGAAGAAAAGAATTGAGAGACGTGCTATTTAAATTCATACATTTATTTATTTATTCGTCATGTTATGCATGATATACAATATCACCTAAAGCGTACATTATTAATTCGCATTCGATATTAGAATTTTTATCATAAATCTTACGCAAAGCGTTTACAGCTTCAAATTTATTCACAATACAATTTTGACGTAAATAAGTCACGAAATACTTAAATTTATCACTTACATTGTTCGTATATTGGCACAAATTGAAATATGTATGATCAACGTATTGTTCGAGTTCGAGCATGAAGAGTACAGTCGACGGTTTCATATACATACACTTGTCACATAAAGATAATTTCACAGTGTTCACATCACGTATTTTGACAAGTTCCATTACAAGGTCTTGAATCATCAACGATGATGATGGTGTAGTCGATTGCACCAATCTTTCTATATCCGCCCGTTTTTCGACGAACGCTGTCCACGTGGCGTGCGGTAGGATGATGCGGTTGCCTCGGGTATCACTAATCGCAATTTCCACGTGAGACATCGATCCCACGGCGATCCCAATCTCAAGAAATTTGTACGCTGTCGGAGTCAACGCAAATGTTCTACCCATGATGTTACGTGCGCTGCAATAAAGAATAAATAATATAAGATATTTTCATAGAATATTTTTATAGATATATAATTTTTACATAGAAATATGTGAAATACTTACAGTTCATGCTGAACGTGAGAATCCATGCTGATTGAAATCGTTTGAGTAACGTTGATGCAGTAACGTTGCACGAACCGCTTTTAAACTGTATCTCCCTCCAACGTTTTTTTCTTTTAAATGCAGCGTTTGCAAAAATGCAACGTTTGCAAAAATGCAGCGTTTGCAAATATGCAGCTGCTAAGAAAAAATTTTGCACAATACAGATTTTTAGACACGTACGGTGATGAAATCATTATTGTAATTCGATATTTAAAAATGAAACGTTCGTAAGTTCTGTTTAAGATTTTTTGCAAAAGACACGTCCGGTGATGAGAGCAGTAATGTAATTTGATACAAATGCGACGTTGCCAAATTGCACAGTTAAGAGATGCGACGTTGCCAAATAGATTGATATAAAACGTAAAGATTTAGACGCATCGTGTCATTAGTCAATCTAGTGACATGGAACGAGATTTCATAGAGCAAGCTACCCTGCTTAGTACCAGAGAAGAGTACGTCGCATGGGAACAGCGATGCGACGAATTCATCGAATCTTTGGAAGAACAGAGTCGGATCAAACGACCGCGATTATCGATCGGCAATAGACAATCAGTGATCGCATGTATCGCGCGGCTCGAAAGTTTGAAGGATTCAGTGCGCGGACGATTCGTGCACGTGGGCGCCGGATATGGACTCCGATGGCGTGAGATCGAAACGGCGTTCGAAAGCCGTATTCTAACGGGCGCGGTGATAAACTCTAATCACATCGACCCCCACCGATTCCTCGAAGACGCGAGTGAAATTGTGCTCGAGCGTGTACAGTGTATTATGCGGAGATATGACTCTATAAAGATAAATACAGTATTTAATGGTGAATTCATAGCGGGTGAAAAACGCGCGAACAAGAGTATCGCCACCCGGAACTTTGAAATATATCGATGCACCGATCAACGCGAGTGGTACGTGTCGCGCGTCGTCGAGCCAATCCTCGCATCGCTCGAAGAGTTTCAAGAACGCGATAGTGGCTGGGCACTGTCGTGTATACTAAATTTAATAGTGAACGCGAATAAACTAAATCCTCTGCGCGCGGGATGTCACATCAAACTCTCTGAGGAAATTATATCAAAGAGAGCGGTGATCAACGTGCAATCCAAAGACAATGCTTGTTTCGCATGGTCGGTGGTTGCCGCTCTACATCCCGCTGAAAGTCATGGGGAACGGGAATCTTCGTATCCGCACTACTCGTCGGTACTAAATCTCACGGGTATTGAGTTCCCGATGACGTTGAGTCAAATTAAAAAATTTGAAAATCTTAACGACATTTCCATCAACGTTTACGCCATCGAGGAGGGGATCGTACCAATACGACTCGCCGACCAAAAGAGGAGCAAGCACGTAAACCTCTTGTACGTGGAGGATGACATCGCGGGACACTTTGTGCTGATTAAAGACCTGTCACGTCTAGTAAGCTCGCAAATTAGCAAAAAGAATAACAGGAAATACTTCTGCGATAGGTACGTATAATAATAATAATAATGATAATAATAATAATAATAATAATAATAACAGTAACAATAGTAATAATAGTAATAATTTTATTTTA